CGATGGTTAAGAGATGATGAGATGTATGTCAAACGATGGTTAAGAGATGATGAGATGTATGTCGAGCGTTGGTTAAGAGATGATGAGATGTATGTCAAACGATGGTTAAGAGATGATGAGATGTATGTCAAACGATGGTTAAGAGATGATGAGATGTATGTCGAGCGTTGGTTAAGAGATGATGAGATGTATGTCAAACGATGGTTAAGAGATGATGAGATGTATATCAAACGATGGTTAAGAGATGATGAGATGTATGTCAAACGATGGTTAAGAGATGATGAGATGTATGTCGAGCGTTGGTTAAGAGATGATGAGATGTATGTCAAACGATGGTTAAGAGATGATGAGATGTATGTCAAACGATGGTTAAGAGATGATGAGATGTATATCAAACGATGGTTAAGAGATGATGAGATGTATGTCGAGCGTTGGTTAAGAGATGATGAGATGTATGTCAAACGATGGTTAAGAGATGATGAGATGTATGTCGAGCGTTGGTTAAGAGATGATGAGATGTATGTCGAGCGTTGGTTAAGAGATGATGAGATGTATGTCGAGCGTTGGTTAAGAGATGATGAGATGTATGTCGAGCGTTGGTTTAATTTCAGCGTGTGTTAATCTCTATCCAATACTTTAAAATTAATAAGGACGGATATTTAGCTGAATTCTACACACATTTAAATGCATGTAATTTCAAACTATATATTCGGCGTGTTATATTTTGTCTTCTAATATTGTTATTGGAAAAGTAATCACACAATTTTCCCACGTACAAGTTCCGAACAGGAAGAATTGGTACTCGAGTATATAGTATCACACAAAAGACGTGTTAAAGGGTTGTACGATCGACACACAAATAATTGGTACCTTCTTTTCAATACCGATTTAGAAACAGAAAATGTAAAGCCAAATAATGAATCAAACTTAAAGAATGCCAGACAAAACGGTACAATATTCATTTTATTCAGAGTGTTTGGGTCACACATTACATACACAAATGAATAACACTTTTTAAATAAAAAAGATGAATAAGAAATAGTAGAGGTAAATAATGAATTAAACACAAGGTATGTTCTGGTCAAGTGGACTACAGAAATGTCAACTCACCTCACCCGGTATTCTGTGTATCAGTAGTAACTCACCATATCCTATCTTCTATAAAATGACAGATGGTTAACACATATGTTAATTAGTACGATTTTTCCTTAAATTTGATTCGTTAAGGCTAATTTATGTAATTCTTAAAGTGCGATGAAGTGTGATTTATGTACGAAACATCTTCACCCGAGGACAAATTGCAATTGTCTGCATGTGCCGTGAAGTTCACGTACCATGCCGGGACTGCTAAAAATAGAGAACTGCCGAAGGTATTTCCTGTAACATTTCCATTACACTAACTCCCGAGGAAATACCATTGCGTCATGTATATCATTGTATGGCTATATCTTTACAATAGTAATTGTATTTTTATCACTTTTTATAGATATTTGATAAATACGTTGTTACACCGTTAATATCAAGCGATGGTCCCCTGAAGCTTCCCTTCGGTGATATCATTGTCAAATAAAAACTCGGTTGTAAGTCATTGGCATAAAAGCCCTCTAGGGTATCATACTAAACATCAGTGCAAATTATTTGCTCTCATGATAATAAGTACCATTTACGAAAGATCACGGAGTTGAGTATCAGAATTTCTTATTCCTTACATGTCTTTTGTACAAGCTTTCGAGTTTGCATCGTACAAACTTTACTGGTGTGCAACCACTCGATAAATCAAATTGAAAATAAGAACAAATGATAGGTAACTACGAAAACACTTGTAAAAACTAGACGGAGAATTGAAGACCAGGTGTCTCGTACGCTTAAGCGTTCTTTGCTTTATCAACGACATTTGCCTCGCAAATCTTGGTCAGTCCTAGTGGTTTAGCTTTTTGTAAAACAGTATTAATATATGTAATAACAAGGCATACACAGTGACATTGAGCACACCCAATTACATACAGAACGAGGAAATATTTTCAAGTCAAATCAGGATGACAACCATAAAACTTCTCCATAGTCTTCATCAAACTGATCTCTCGAATACCATCAGGTCTCGGCATTTATAATGAAAAGCGTGATATTCGGAACAACTCGTACATTACTAAATCAACTAAACACAGTGGGAAGCAGTTTGTTACTACACAGAGATGGAAAACTCACAATCTTGAAAACATACATACAGTCAGGCATTTGTTTTTTATGTCGGGTGTCAACTTAAATAGCAATTTATTACGGGGGAATTACGTAATGGTGCACAAACAATGGAGTGTTCCATACTCTATTTATGGTGTAAAAAAGTTAAGCAAGAAAGGCAATCATGTTAATAGACGCTAAAATATAACTGACGTGTTATTATCATCACCTCGAAAAAAAATTAATCTTCCCATTCAATAGTTACTGACGTCACGTGGTGACCATCTCATTTTAATTGTAGGTTAATAGACAGCAATATGCCTGTCGTACTCGTTCTTTGAGATTCTGAGCGTGTCTTAAACAGACAGTTCAATCTTGTAACGTTACTATTTGTATTTGTCAAAATTCTTGTTGTTCAATGGGTCACCATGAAGCGACTTCTGCAGTGTTATATCTGGTATTACCAATGAACCATACTAAAAAAACAAAAACAAAATCAATCAATCATGACGATGAGAACAGTTTCCGATAATATGTAAATAATGTTATAAAAGCTTATCTAAAAGGCTAAATGAGGTTATTTCGTTAGGTTCTCTCGGACAACATAAAAAGTAGAGAGTTGACAGGGTCCGCGCTTCACCTCTTCCTCAATGTTAACCTTATTAATTTCTGTATGACGACAGTAACCAAGCAGACAGCACCAGTGCAATGCAGTCTCAACTTATTGTTTACATGCAGTAGTGTTTTTATTTTGTATTTTGAATTATGCAAGATTCTTCGGCCAATAATAGTTGTTATATTTGTGGGGTGGGCTTTCTTATACCTAACCTAGGACCGAAGATATAAATAGGGTTGGCGTTTTTATACCTAACCTATGACCAAAGATATAAATAGGGTTGGCGTTTTTATACCTAACCTAGGACCGAAGATATAAATAGGGTTGGCGTTTTTATACCTAACCTATGACCAAAGATATAAATAGGGTTGGCGTTTTTATACCTAACCTAGGACCAAAGATATAAATAGGGTTGGCGTTTTTATACCTAACCTAGGACCAAAGATATAAATAGGGTTGGCGTTTTTATACCTAACCTAGATATAATATAGGGTTGGCGTTTTTATACCTAACCTAGGACCTAAGATATAAATAGGGTTAAATAGGCGTTTTTATACCTAGGACTATACCTACCTAGGAGGACCAAAGATATAAATAGGGTTGGCGTTTTTATACCTAACCCAAAGATATAAATAGGGTTGGCGTTTTTATACCTAACCTAGGACCAAAGATATAATTAGGGCTGGCGTTTTTATACCTAACCTAGGACCAAAGATATAAATAGGGTTGGCGTTTTTATACCTAACCTAGGACCAAAGATATAAATAGGGTTGGCGTTTTTATACCTAACCTAGGACCAAAGATATAAATAGGGTTGGCGTTTTTATACCTAACCTAGGACCAAAGATATAAATAGGGTTGGCGTTTTTATACCTAACCTAGGACCAAAGATATAAATAGGGTTGGCGTTTTTATACCTAACCTAGGACCAAAGATATAAATAGGGTTGGCGTTTTTATACCTAACCTAGGACCAAAGATATAAATAGGGTTGGCGTTTTTATACCTAACCTAGGACCAAAGATATAAATAGGGTTGGCGTTTTTATACCTAACCTAGGACCAAAGATATCTGTGGAATTGGCGCTCTTATACCCACCAAGGACAAAAGATATCTGTGGAGTGGGCGTTTTCATACCCACCTTGGACCTAGGACCAAATATTTGGTTTGGAATATGTTCATATTTGAAGGCAAATTTCAATAGTCGATGAATAAAATAAACAGCCAATTTCTATTCAAACATGTTCTTTAATCCAGCGAGCTTTCCCTAACTGAAATCATCTATAATAATGAATCACTTGATGTTCAATACTATGATGTGATACCTGTATGTAGCTATATACATTCATTTTTCCCATTCTCAAGTGAATCACTTTTCTCGGTGCATTTTCACATATGTTGGAAGCCCGGAAGCCGGGGCATTAAGTCCGCGAAATGAATGAATAAGCTGTATATATACCATTATACAATGACCAGACACATGCTACTTGACGTGGGTGTACCTTAAAGTGATATTCTGTATACATTTAGATACATTAGATAATTAGAGGTAAACATGCATATCTACGATCCAGATAGGATCAGGCATCACATATTATTTACAAACAGTAAACACATGTAATTATATACATATGCTTCATAAAGTTAATACTGACATCTTTAAAGACTGAAAAAGAGACCGTAAATAGCGACATAAGATAGAGTCAAACAATGAATTAAACCACATCCTACAGTTGTTACGTCCCTCTAGGACTCGTCCGAGATGTGAAGGAGTATGATACAGAAGTTGATTGATGTGTATGTTTAAGTTGTTTTTCCATTTCTGAGTTTATAATGGAATTACACTACAGTACACAATGACAGAGTAGTGAATTTTCATATGTATCAGATATCTATTGAATACATTCTGGTACGAACCTATTACAGAATTAAAACCCTGTCCGGGATTTACGAGTTATGTTAATCAAATCTGTTATATTTCTCTACTGAGACCGGGATTTTTTACGTCATAGGGTCAGTCAACCTTACACCCCATTCAAAACAGCTTGTATACAACCTTGTTTAGTGCAGACGGGGATTAGTGAGAATTTTGATATCTTGTATTGCAGTAGAGATTCAATGTATAGCGTTAGAACATATACACTAAGCTTTATATATACGTTGCTGTTAGTGTGAACAACATAGATTTGACTTGTGAATACTATCGTATGGAGAATATTTTACTTTATGTTGTTTTACTGTCGAATTTTATACATGGTAAGTCTATTTATATTATATTTTATAATCTTCATTTGTTTTTTTCTGCTGTTTTAGTGTATGTTCTGTTAGCATGTCTAAGACGATTTGATCAGTAATATTTCAAATTATATACTTTGAGGTTACAAATATCGCAATCATTTCAATACAAAAAAAATCCATAAACATAGTAAAAATTACAATATTTATATCTTTCATTTCCAAACAATGTCTACAAAATCAAAGCAAACTTTATTTTCACGCTCTTGATATATCCTGTATGTATTACGTTTGTATTCTGAAGAGAACTCATTAGTTCTGACACTACACGCTACTAGTCTAATCCATAGTGATCTCTTATTAGTTGTCAAAGTCCTCTCCTCCAGAACCAGATGAAAGGAAAGCATTTACAATGACGTCATTACGGTGTGTAATCACGTGTTTCCCCTTTGGAACCGGAGACAAAGGAATCCAAATGATTGACCACAATATCTCGTTACTGAAATTTGAAATCCACAGTGCCCTTCTAAGATTTCGTTCCGTTTAATCTGGTTTCGTGGTAAAAATGCTTGAACATGTCTCTATGTATGAATAACTTTATGAACTAAGGACGAAGCAATTACTAGTTAAACACTAAGAAGTAATACTCTTGAGGTCATAATGATTGTTTTAGGTGGAAACCGTATCAGTTCATTCGATATTCAAAGTCCTGTTCTCAATATCGTGGTTTTCCTGCTCGATGACACCAACTGATAGACAGACTCAGTAGAGCGATCTATGCAGGTTGATGAAAATGGTTTGGATGTTTTACGGTCGTTACAGTGATCTGGTTGGGAAATATTTTTTTTTATATGAAGTTTGAGATGCTCATTAATATACCTGTTGTATCCGTTGTTGTTGATCGTATTCCCATCTAAAAAAACTCAATACCATCTTTGTGTTGTCAGATGCTACTCCAAATGAAGTTATTTTCTGATTGTAAGACCATCTTTGTTGTGTCAGAAGCTACCTGAGATGAGATTATCGTAGATCTGTTCATTTTCACGCGTTCAATTTTTTCGCGATTTTCTTAAAAACTTGGAAATAAAACTGTAACAAATTAAGATTTTCGCGATCTGGCTGTAAAATGGCATCTAATACACACATGTGTCACACTTTTTCACGGATTAAGTTTTAGCGTTTATGTAAATGTACCGTGAAATAGCGAAAATATCATTCTCTCGAAAATAAGCGACTTAACGGTATTTTCAGATCGTAAGACCATCTTTGTTGTGTGAGAAGCTATCTGTGATGAGATTATTGTACAACTGATTATTTTCACGGGTCAAATTTCCCCCCATTTCCTTTTAAAACGATCGAATTCTATTTTAACAAATTAAGGTTTTGCGATCTGGATGTAAAATGACATCCAATACACTCATGTCTCCACATTTCATTGACGGAAATGTGATATTTGTGTTATCAGAAGCTACTCGAGATGATATTGAGATTTATTTCGAATTCGCAATACCAGTTACGTGAAGTTTTGTATTCAATATCTGAATATTTGCCCCCACCGTAATAAATCGGAATTCATTCAGAGACATACCAGTAACTTGTAAATAAATTATCAATTGATGCGACATCTGACCGATGTTGATTTTAACCAATCAAATTACTTTAAATAATCGTTTTATGAGGAATCATTGTAAAATTATTCAAAAACATCAGAGTCGAGTGGTAACATTTTTCACTGGATTTACTGGTGAATTCTTCTGTCTAGGAATCATATTGTTTCTAAAGATTGTGTGAATAAAGCAAAACTGGGCGCTTTCCACCTATAACAGAACGAATTTACAGTTGACACTGCATCTGTTCCTAAAGTGGTATTTTAGGAAAGTCTTGTCAGAGAGGCACGCCGCAGACAAGGTTGCGGTCAACATCAGGGACTGATAACCCTTCTGAAATATTCCACCAACTTCAGGGACTGATAACCCTGCTGAAAGGTACCAACCAATATCAGGGACTGATAACCCTTCTGAAATATTCCATCAACTACATCATCAGGGATAACTTCAAGACCATCCTGAGGGTGAGCTGTTATGTTTTGGTAAACTTCAGCATTACATTAGATTCAAGACTACAGGTTAGCTCTACCACCTACAACGTAACAGCCAACTTTAGGGACCGATAGAACACACCAGCTGGAAGTTTGGGGCCAGTCTCAGGGGCTGATATATCACTACCCACAAAGTAACAGCCAACCTCCGCCATTGACAGTTCACCACCTGATTACCCGGTGTAGTTGAACAATTACGGGAAATGCTTAGTAAAAACACTTTATGTTTAACACTAGACCAAACTCGTACAGAAAGTCATACTGTGTAAAAATTGTCACTACATTCTATGTTACCATAAGAAATATAAAAATTGGACATTTTCAATTAGAAAGCACTTTTGTCTCTCGTTCCAGATGCAATTGGTGGGGAGAATTGTGAAGCGACGTCACAAAGTTCAACGATTACCCAGTACTGTGAGGTTGGTGGGTGTTGTATCCCCAATAACATGCAGAGGTTGACAAAAGACTCGGACCTGTGTTGCGTCAATTTTCTTGTCGTCATTCTCATTGGTGTATTTGTTGGTCTTCCTATCTTTATTCTCACCGGCATCTGTCTCGTTATCATCATTAAAACATGTGTTAAAAATCGCAAGCAGACATCACTGACCGCACTCTCGGACACCGAGAACCATCTACCACAATTCCGTAAGTACACCAAAACGCCATATTGCTAAACGTAGTAAAATGTTGATACGAGTGATTTAGACAAAACATTTATAGAACTGAATGGTGGAAGGGATGACACGTTAAATAATTTATCCTTTTAACGTTCAACCTGCATGCTTTGATATTCTGAATTTGATATTGTTTTAGAAAGCCTGTTTGTAATTTACATAGTCGTTAAGCCAGGATTCATTGTGTAACACGTGTCATGTCATCAATCATACTTCTATCAACATTTGGCCTGGCCGTCTGCTCAGTGGTGTATCGGAACGTCATTGGTAATTTCCTCGGGTTTAGAAGTCGCGGGGGATATAGGTATATCATCGTATGACGTAGGTCTACTGACTTACTCAATGCCAAATATCAATATCAAAGATGTAACAGCCCTTCTCCTTGAGGGAAGTTCATCAAAATTCATTCAATAACAATTCTCATATCTCATGTGACTTGGAGTTTCAGCCATATGGTCAATGTCAAGGTCATCGTTACTATTTTAATAAAAGAATTGTAGTTGTGGGTTATCATCACTATTTTGAGAAGCTCCTTGTTAGCGTGCAAGTGGTTTCAGTACAGGAAAGATTCTGATCAATAACAAAAATTTACAAAGGATATGTTGAGTACGAGTCCAAGATTTATGGTCGTAGGGTGAAGTTCAAGGTCACAGTTACTATTTTAAGGAAAGAATTATAGTTGTGGGTTATCGTCACTATTTTGAGAAGCTCCTTGCTAAGGTTGTAATGGTTTCATTCTTGGAATAATTCTGATCAATAATAAGTATGTGAGTCAGAGTCCAGGATTTATGGATGTAGGGTGAAGGTCAAGGTCATTGTTACTATTTTCAGAAACCTTTCAGTCGCTGTAGTGGCTGGATTCTTTCAGGGATTAGAGCGTGTATGAGGGTTGGGGCTGTAGGTTAAGATCTACTTTTGATCTCGACAACCGTATCTATCATTAAGAGTATATCAGCGTTTTAACTGTTTTAACTCTGATTTCACTTTCTGAATCCAACAGAACCGAAACCACCTGACTACTCACAGGCGGTAAGGACATGTCCAGTGTATTCTCCGTCCAGGGCCTGGCAACAACGGCCGTCACTGGTAATACCTGGAGCTATTAGTCACAGAAGAACGTCACAACACCTTCCTTCAGAAGCGTACAACACCGACCAGTCACACTTACCCACGTCCCCGCCCCCGCCATATGCCTCACGTGCTAGCGGGTGTGTTTCACCCATAGATTTGTCGGGATCACAACTCTCCGTGTTGTCCGAACCAACACCGGAACCTCGTGGATTCACTCTACTCACACCAACACCAGACCAGCGTCGGAATGGATCATCGACCATAGCAACGGCGGATCCCGTGGTTACAGATCTAGAGACATCGGGAGATAATGACTTGGCGTTCATTTAACTTTATCTTCGTAAAAAAATCCAATCCCGTGTCTTTAATTTCGTCAATAAAATATCATTAATCTGCCTGTATATGTCTTCCAAAAGAAAAAAAATATGTACAATATGATGTTACTTTTTTTTATCTTCGGTGATAACAATGCCAATTAGTAATATACAAGGATAGATCGTTAAGTCAGCTGTAGATCTTCGGAGATCCATCTTAAAGGCAAAGACACAATATGGTTTCACCTGTCTCGTCGTCAAGGAGATATCGGGCGTAAGACCTGAATTTGGCGTGAATGAATCTTTGGGTTTATTTTTTCAATTTCTGCAAATTTGGAAACCGAAATTGAAGTAAGTTTCTATTAATTTTCATTACGGAAATATCTTTGATACGATACATCTATTGGTTTGTCGTTAAATTTGCTACCATGAACCGCACAATCATGTCATCAGGATTTTGCCTACTTCAGCTGTGAGTTTAATACAGCACATAACCTTATTTTTCATCGTCAGACAAAACGCTAATATCCAAACATTGAAAACTCGAATAAGACCAAATATTTGGTCCCATAACTTGTATTCGAGTAGATCAAAATTTTAAGATATGAAATTAAGACCATCAGAAAGTTTGTCAAGAACGACGCCTGGAGCTGCTTTTCCGAACCGTAATCATTCATTAGATACAGTTCTTGATTTTTGTCTCTACGTTGTTCAAAATTCATTCGGAATCTTACGACATGACAATATGTTGAGAATCCGGAACTGACATGATCACAATTTGCGTCTATGTCTTGCAGCCTGTACAATGTATCTACATTTGTTTATCATACAAATCTTGCTCAAATGGCTAGAGTTTTGTAGTTGTTCCTGTTCTGGTAGTAAAAAAGAGTAGGCAAAAGTAAACATATCACAGTCATCACTCTCCTATTCTGTTTTAAGCATGAACTTCCCGATAACAGGTTTACCTGCGGGTAATAGTATTAGCTCCTCAGAGGTCCTTGTGTGCCATACACCTTTAATATAACTCACAAACGATATAGCCACAGTTAAAGTTAGGATGCCTTCTATCCAGGCAATCCTTGTACTCAGTAGTAAATTATAATCCCGAAGACCTGTGTATGGAGAAAAGATATATTGACTTTTGTGAATTCAATGGTTAAAGTCATGTCAGATATTGAGGTCACAATAATCGTTATGCTATTGTATTAAGCTGTGGGTGTGTAACGGACCAACATTTACATGGCGGGAGTTTGCAATGATGCAGAAGACGCTTGGCGTTATGAAACACTTGGTCTTATTCCCCGTGTGTTTTTTCTCAAATGTCTCCGTGTATTTTTAATCATCATATATGTACTCAATTTGTCAATTTTGTGCTTGAATTAAGATTTAGTCAACACGTCAACATTTTTTCAGGGAGAAACTCGCGTCCTTTCTTCATAAATCTAAGGCCAAATCTAAAATAGTGAAAAAGCACGACAATGTTAAAATACCAACGAAATATGGGAAATTGTAAAGTTTAATCAAGACTACACTACGTATCTTTGATCATTCTTTGTCTATGTGTTCCTCTTTCATCTCTAAATATACTTTCAGTAGACCAAACCCCATCTTCAGCTTCAAGAAGTGAAAAGCTGTTGAGCACTAGCAGCTCACATTCCATAGCATAAAAGCATATTTAAATTAACAATTTTGTATTAAAGTGGACTTTGCCTTCGTGATTAAGAAGAAAGATTGTAGTAAAATCACTATCCTTTTTAAACAATAATTCTCAATCTTTTCGTTACTATAGATCAACACAAAACCTTCCAGAAAAGTACTCCCCCGCCGCAATTCTTTGTGGGCCTTTCCCTGCAGAATACCCTTCCTGACAAGAAAATTAGCAGACAAACAAAAGTTCCAGCTGACAGAACTTCATGACCGCCGGCAATTTTTTCAAAGCGGATTTCTCACTGCTAATTAAAACATAGAAATCATTTCAAGAAGCTACTGTAGTGTCCATTTCTCTTTCTGACCACACCCTTGAATAAAGAACTTCTTCTCAAAGGCTGCAATTGTAAGACCTTGGCTACAGCAAAAATATGCATGCACGTAATTAAAGACTAAGTGACCTGACTTCATGTCCAATAGGGAAAAACTCTGAAAATTAGATGTCCTATTGATAAAACAGCACAATCAGGACTATCATTGACAGCTCTTAACCTAGCTTTCATCTTGACAAGGCTGCTTTTGGGTTAGGATCTTGTAAGCTGAAGGGCCAAGATGTATCAAGGTATTTATTTGTTTGTATTTTCATTTATCTATTGATTTTCTTTTGTAACATATTGTGTCAAATAATGTTTATCAATATCATTATAGTCCAACCGCAATTCATAGTTTTAATCCTAGCGGTGGCATTGGAATAAATAATGACACCTGTTACACAATGATCAAAACTTGGGACAGAATCTTACAAAACTAATGCTGATACTGAATGGTATGGTAGTGAATTCTGATTCAGATCCAAGGTAAGATCACATATATGCGAGGTACATTCAAGTGAGCTGGAGACACTTTCTCTTATAAAAGGCCCTTTACCTAAACAGCACACCATGGGTTGAGGACAGACGAATAAAGCTAAAGGGGTTTAAATATGTGTAAAATGTCATTTTACTGAAACACATGTTTACATTTCTCTATCACTGCAACCAACAATGTATATCAGTTTATATTTAATCCATGGTCAGACTTTATTACAGGAAGTGTTAACATAATGTTTTTGACCTTGACATTTCAAACGGAGAGATTGTGGTATAAGCTTGAATGGACCATGTGTCTAAAAAGACATCAATGTATTGTGGTATAAGCTTGAATGGACCATGTGTCTAAAAAGACATCAATGTATTGTGGTATAAGCTTTAATGGACTCTTTGTCTAAAAAGACATTGATGTATTGTTGTATAAGCTTGAATGGACTTTTTGTCTAAAAAGACATCAATGTATTGTGGTATAAGCTTGAATGGACCATGTGTCTAAAAAGACATCAATGTATTGTGGTATAAGCTTGAATGGACTTTTTGTCTAAAAAGACATCAATGTATTGTGGTATAAGCTTGAATGGACCATGTGTCTAAAAAGACATCAATGTATTGTTGTATAAGCTTGAATGGACCATGTGTCTAAAAAGACATCAATGTATTGTGGTATAAGCTTGAATGGACTCTTTGTCTAAAAAGACATCAATGTATTGTGGTATAAGCTTGAATGGACCATGTGTCTAAAAAGACATCAATGTATTGTGGTATAAGCTTGAATGGACCATGTGTCTAAAAAGACATCAATGTATTGTGGTATAAGCTTGAATGGACCATGTGTCTAAAAAGACATCAATGTATTGTGGTATAAGCTTGAATGGACCATGTGTCTAAAAAGACATCAATGTATTGTGGTATAAGCTTGAATGGACCATGTGTCTAAAAAGACATCAATGTATTGTGGTATAAGCTTGAATGGACCATGTGTCTAAAAAGACATCAATGTATTGTGGTATAAGCTTGAATGGACTGTGTCTTTGTATTGTGGTATAAGCTTGAAAAAGACATCAATGTATTGTGGTATAAGCTTGAATGGACCATGTGTCTAAAAAGACATCAATGTATTGTGGTATAAGCTTGAATGGACCATGTGTCTAAAAAGACATCAATGTATTGTGGTATAAGCTTGTGTCTAAAAAGACATCAATGTATTGTGGTATAAGCTTGAATGGACCATGTGTCTAAAAAGACATCAATGTATTGTGGTATAAGCTTTAATGGACCATGTGTCTAAAAAGACATCAATGTATTGTGGTATCAAAAACTTGGAAAAACTCACTAATAACAAGAAGATCAGATCATAATTTAATATACACAGTTACAAGAAAATGTTCTCAACGTTCTATTCAAAATGTGCAAAATACAATACAAAATATAACAAAAAAAAGGATTAATTAAATTGCATATTTGATATTAGGAAAACACCCAGTGAGGTTGTACAATGCTATCATGAAAAATGGTGTTACCTAGGCAATAACGATACTTTACTAATCACCCGCTTTTCTTCATTGACGTCGATCACTTTATACCTGATTTTAATGTCTACAAAATGTTGTGAACATATTTATTGAATCTCCTAATATCTTGTGTATCTAAATGTCTACATACATATATATATAAGCTCCAGTTTGTTCCTTTATACTAATGTTATTTTGTATTATTGTATGGACTTTGAAACTTTTACTAGCATATCAAATGTATTAAGATAGTTCTAAACTGGCTTTATTGAAACATTATTATTTCATTAAATAAAATCAATTAATTCATTTCAAATACTTAATACCCACTTCATCTGTCATCAACCAATAGTAACTTTTGAGAAAGAAATGATGAAGTGAACATTAATTCTAGAAATCAAAGTGAAACACAGTGTTACACATCACACATGTTGTATATAATCAATCCCTAGGAGTGATAAACATTCCAGTATTTATTTTCAGCGTGGGATCTTAAGATTACTAGAAATCAAATGATAATATTGTTTTAGCTTACATTTTCCTATATATCAAAGTTTTACTTTCATGGCAATAGTTTTCTAATGATATACACCCTTTTCTTTATAAGGCTCATTAAAATATCAAAGTGACTTTCATAAAATGTCTGACCAGAAGGAACATCACCCAGTAAGCAGAATTTGATTCTTAGCCTCTTTGGTGCTACCTTTCTCAGAACTTTTTGATAAATATGATGATGAATTAATAGTTTGTTAAAAAAAAATCAAAAAAGAGAAAATATGGTGTAAGTTTCCATAGATTGGAAATCAGCATGCATCTTTCCAAATTGCACAAGTCCATGTAATCAACAACAGCATAAAATATAAACATCTACTTTTATACAACAGTCAGTATTTGTGTTCATAAGCCACAAAATCATCTCATCTTAATCAGACTTGACAAGATAACTTGTAAACGAATTGGTGTTTTTGCTGGTATGACTGATATAAAAAGGTGTTGTTTACCTAGTACAATTGGTTTACATTGGGGAATGATGATAATAAAGTAAAACACATAATGAACCCAACAGGACATAAAAACTATGCACCACAAAAACAATACAATATGTTATATATAGTACACGTTTCGTTTTCCCCTGGTGTGATCACAAATTGAAAAAGATGGAAATAAGACTGTGGTGACATACATTATGAAACATTCCGAGGCAGCCAACACAGAAATCAAGCATGCCTTACACCAAACTGGGACAGAACCCTGACATTCCTACAAAAGAACAATAATTTTGAAGAATTTGCCCCATCCCTCCTGCCCTAGGGTGCTGAGATTCACCATTTACACAAAGTTTATTTCTTTTTCAGCTAAAAAATGCTTTGGGCCAAATCAGGGCAACATCATGATATTCCTACTGGAGAAGACTTTTCTAGAATTTGCTCTGTTCACCCATTAGGCCTTACCCCTCCGGTCCTAAAGAGCCGAAACCCAACGTTTCTACAAAACTGATTCCTCTTCATCGAAGGATGCTTCAAATCAAATACATGTACAGTTGTATGTGCAAAGTCCAAACATTCCTACAGAAAGAGTAGAATTTTTAAGAATTGCTCTATTTCCCCTAATGGGCCCCATTTCTGCCACTCCAGGGAGTCAAGACCCAGAGTTTATACAAAATTGATTCCCCTTCACCAAAGAATGTTTCAGACCAAATTGGTGCAAAATCCAATAATTCCCTACAATAATGTTGTGTAGTATCTCACTGAAATCCTTCTATATAGATAAGTCAGTAGATTGTTAGCTTACCTTACCTCAGGTAAAAACTGAAATTAAATTGTTCGTAACTCCCATTTGGTTTGGTCAACCTGAAAACTGAGGAATGGAATACATGTTTGTTGACCATCGGTATAATCATATAGATTATACTTAAAAGTTAATATCTTCTTGTTTGAATTGGTATTATATCCATAAAAATCAAACTGTTACTTCCACCATTCGAAAGACAAAGGTATCAACACACACACATAAAATGTTATTTTACATGATATCTCGTGTCATGTCATCCCTCAAGTTAAATATCATTAACATTGTTTTTCATAATAATAACAGATATAATATTAAGTATGAAAATATAAATTACAAAGTGATCAAAGTGTAAAAAATTCTGACTATAATGAGAAGCAAACAATCCCATATTAATGCAAATAAACAAATATTTGTGACATGATTCTTCAATCAAACAAGTTTTCAAAACTGAAGTGAAATCGTAAAGATATCTCAGGGTAAAAAATTTGGGCATTAAAGAGAAAGTAAGAATCTGCTCCTGATTACCTACTGTCACTGATTACCTACTGTCATTGATTACCTACTGTCACTGATTACCTACTGTCATTGATTACCTACTGTCACTGATTACCTACTGTCATTGATTACCTACTGTTACTGTCACTGATTACCTACAGTCACTATTACCTACTGTCACTGATTACCTACTGTCACTGATTACCTACTGTCATTGATTACCTACTGCCATTGATTACCTACTGTTACTGTCACTGATTACCTACAGTCACTATTACCTACTGTCACTGATTACCTACTGTCACTGATTACCTACTGTCATTGATTACCTACTGTTACTGTCACTGATTACCTACTGTCACTGATTACCTACTGTCACTGATTACCTACTGTCACTGATTACCTACTGTCATTGATTACCTACTGTCACTGATTACCTACTGTCACTGATTACCTACTGTCACTGATTACCTACTGTCATTGATTACCTACTGTCACTGTCACTGATTACCTACTGTCACTGATTACCTACTGTTACTGTCACTGATTACCTACTGTCACTGATTACCTACTGTCATTGATTACCTACTGTCACTGATTACCTACTGCCATTGATTACCTACTGTCATTGATCACCTACTGTCACTGTCACTGATTACCTACTGTCACTGATTACCTACTGTTACTGTAACTGATTACCTACTGTCACTGATTACCTACTGTCACTGATTACCTAATGTCATTGATTACCTACTGTCATTGATTACCTACTGTTACTGTCACTGATTACCTACTGTCATGGATTGCCTACTGTTACTGATTACCTACTGTCATTGATTACCTACTGTTACTGTCACTGATTACCTACTGTCATTGATTACCTACTGTTACTGTCACTGATTACCTACTGTCATTGATTACCTACTGTTACTGTCACTGATTACCTACTGTCATTGATTACCTACTGTCACTGATTACCTACTGTTACTGATTACCTACTGTCATTGATTACCTACTGTTACTGTCACTGATTACCTACTGTTACTGTCACTGATTACCTACTGTCATTGATTACCTACTGTTACTGATTACCTACTGTCATTGATTACCTACTGTCACTGATTACCTACTGTCACTGATTACCTACTGTCATTGATTACCTACTGTTACTGTCACTGATTACCTACTGTCACTATTACCTACTGTCACTGATTACCTACTGTCACTGATTACCTACTGTCACTGATTACCTACTGTCACTGATTACCTACTGTCACTGAGTACTGCTGTCACTGTGTAACAGATGTAGGAATCTGAACTTCAGTCAATATCTTTTCTTCCTTCAGCAACAACTTAATAGTTTCTCATGCTTCTAACATGTACAGTTGATTTTCTATAGAAGTGCCAGGTCCTACGATATATAATTCCTTTGCTGCTATTATAGGCTGGTTTCCAACTATTCTCCAACAGAATTTTTATTTCATGGGAGTGTGATTTTGAGTTTTTTTCATTTTATATTGCAAAGAAAAAATGGGTAAAACAAAACTTGTTAATCAGCGAAGGGTAATTTTTGATACCATGGGATTCGAGAATGAGATAAAAAAAAATAGGAGTAATCTACAGACTACCAACAATGTACATCAATACAAAATGCGGTATGAAAATTTGACTAATTCATAGACACCCAAAAACATACACTCATACAAAATGTGACTACAAAATCCGACTAAACTATAGACTCTCAAAAACATACACTCATACAAAATGTGACAACAAATTCTGACTAATTTAGGGACTCTCAAAAACATACATTCATACAAAATGTGATGACAAAATCTGACTATACTATAGACTCCCCAAAATATACACACATACAAAATTAACATGACATCACAGAATAACAAACTAACACAAGATCTAGTGCTTTACTTCACAACATACAAAATGTGATGACAAAATCTGACTAAACTATAGACTCTCAAAAACATACATTCATACAAAATGTGACAACAAATTCTGACTATACTACAGACTCCCCAAAATATACACACATACAAAATTAACATGATATCACAGAATAACAAACTAACACAAGATCTAGTGCTTTACTTCACAGCAACAATCCTCTCATAAAGTGAGAAATCTCAAAAGCCTCTACTAATAACCAAATCGTAACCTTGGTTTTGGCTGCTTAGAAAAACAGACTTAGCTTAGCGGGAAATATTTGTTCTCTATATCCTTATCATCTGAGAGTTCAAAATAAGTTTGCTTCTTTTTAGATTTGAAAGCATTTATGAAATAAATTGTCATCCTTTGAACATTCTGAAGCAGTTCCAAAATACAAGATTGCCTTTGTATGGTAAGGAAGAATATATCACAATTCTCAATGCAGTTTCTATGAGGAAGTTTATATAATTCTAGAATTTTTCTTATGCCAGATAGGATAGCCACAGATTTTAACCCCTTTTCTTTCCACCCATCCTCCTACCCTCTACACTTATCATACTACCCTCCAACCCTATTCCCCCTACTCTTTTCACCTATCCTCCTACCCTCCAACCCTATTCCCTCTTACCTTCACACTTGTCCTCCTATCCTCTAATTTCCTCTATTTCTTTACCTCCAAATCCATACTCCTATCCCCCTACCCTTCACACCCCCATACCATTCAACCCTATCCTTCTACCCTACACATTCATACTCCTACTGTTCAACCCTCTTCCACTTCCTTTCATTCCATCATCCTACTCTTTAACGCTTTCTCCCTACCCTCCACATATATACTCCTATTGTCCAACCGTTTCCCCTTAAACTTCATACCTATCCTTCTTCTGTCTAACCCTATTCCCTTACCTATCACACCCATCCTCCCTACTGTCCAACCCTTTCCCCTTTACCTTACACCTCAATAAAGGGATCCGAACCCCACTTTAGAAAACACAGATCGCTACTTGAACAGCAAGATATTGTTTGTACAGATATGAACTAGCAAAATTTCAGGTAATTCCAAGGATTGTCTGTTTTTTTTTATGTACTGTTACAACTGATTGTCACATTATAGGACTTTTAATTTCTGTGTGAACTGCAACAAGAAATCAACCCAAAACAGTATCTGCAAAAGCACATGATCTTGTATCAGATTGTACAAACTCTATGATTGTTTCTCAGGACTCTCAGTCTTTGATGTTTTGTTATGAAATTCAGCATCTGTATCATTTCCCTCCAATTTCTTTCCATCTGCTTCTTTTACTTCTGAAGTGACTTTCTTCCTGTTGAAAAAAGCTTTCACTTTTTCTCTTAATCCTTTGGACTTCTTTGGGTCAACTGTCTTGAATATTCGAGTTGTGAGGTTATGAATGGATCCAAATGCAATAGCCACGACAGTACAAGCTAGACAGATGACATTGTAGGGCATGCTGAAGTCAGGAGTGGGTAGGGAGATCAGTAAACTCTCTGTATGGACTCGCAGGAAAAACTGGTTGGAGACATCACTGAAACTGTTGAATATGAAACAGTAAGATATATTTTTAAAGTTATATTTAAAAAAAAAAGGATATCAATAGTTCACTGGAACTAAAATCTACAATGTCTGACAAGATAAAAATAAAATATATTGCATTTAACAAACTGTAACATTAAATCATATTAATACATGCAATGTCCCTGTGTAATGATTAACAACAATACAAAAAAACAACATATCTATCAAAGTTAACCAGAAATTCTGGATTTTCTTTTGAAGCTATAAGTACCTTTCTAGAAACAAGGAGGCATTCTGTTGGACAGCTAAGTAGGAATGAGCATATGGCAACATTGTAGTAAGCACAGCAGCATTGGCATAGAAGCCATGGTTAGCATCTGGAGGATACTCTGTCCATTTGAGGAAAGCACGGTCAAACACCAGATTGATCCGTGTTACAGAGTTTGCACGTAGTCGGAACACAACTTCAAGATGGTATGGTCGCAATCTGTCCTTCCCCAGCACAAAATGGACCTTGACTGTCAGACACAAGAGAGATTACAGAACTAGGTACCAATGCATGTAGGGTATAACTAGTGTATAAAAACAATTGTGAAACATTCAAAACAAGTAAAAAGACAGAAAATTGGATATGAATGTTTTGTTTGTAGTTTATACTCGCTTGGCTTGGCTTCCATTGATGATAGAACCACCAACAAGCACTTTTTAAATGCCATTGCAATGAAATGTTGTACCGTAGACACAACAGCATGACACCTCAATCAGCCACATCATACTAACAATAGGCAGGTGTGACCAGGTGGGGTGTATTTATACCATAAAACAGCAGTTCCAATATACAGGAACAAATCAATCATTTCATCCTTTGTATGTGCTAAAAGTTTGTTGAAAATATGTCACTTTGTTTTCACCTTTGTTGTATTATAGGTTACAGAATGCAAATTTCCTATGGTCTATGATAAACAGTGACTTACAAGGTTTGATGTCCTTGCCCTTGTTACGTATACTAAGAGAGTTGTAGTAGACTCTGAAGTACCAGGGTATAGTCTCCATGTATATCAGTGTGAGGTTCTGATCCAGGTTGTTGTAGATCTGACAAGTGATACCTCCCCTCTCTAGGCCAAATCCTGGACAACAAACATCAGTACATGTAGCCATGAAATGTGAGCCTAATTCTAGCCAACACATACAAATATATAGCAAGAATAGGTCACAGGTACATAAACTATTAAATTAGATATATCATTTTCAGGGTTATTTCTCATATCCAAATTCCATAGTATGTAGTAACTTTACTTCATCTGTTCTATTTACATGCCTTTCATTGTAAAACTGGTAAAGGGCAAATAACTCTTGTGAGAAAAAGCAATTTTGTGCCATATTACCTGGTATGTATAACCACAAACAATTGTAATGTTAATAGGAAAATATCAGAATCACTATTGGATGACAAGTGTATGTAATGAAAACTTTGAAATCTACCATCAAATAGCACACCATTTTTATTTTGAATACCTGGTTCCATACATATGTGAGTTCAACTATTTTCACATTCCTTTATATTTTCTGTTAATGCTTACTTTACATTTTAATACACATATAACAAAGGACTAATCTAAGACATTAGTGTGACTGTACCTGTGACAAATCGGTGAGCATATAACGAAGGTTCCAATCCTTGTTTGTAAGCTGCCTTCTGTTCATAGTCAGCAGAGAGATCTAAGAATCCATCCTGCTCCAGAAATTCACCGACATCAAAAACTGCATAAGTTCTCCTGTCACTGCCTCTAGTGAATTGTAAGACCTCTGTTGGCTCTTGTTGCAGTGTGAACCTCAACTCTGGAATCTGTATCAAAGTAAAGTACTGTTTGATCAGTGAAGTTCACAAAACTCTATATAAACATTTAAACATTATAAGTGATAATGATACTGAAAGATTACAGCATTGATGGATTCACATGATCAGTTACAAGAAACCAGTCATACACTACAACTAGCATATCCTTATGTTAAGTACATAAAATCCCCTAATAACAATAATCATTTCTATTGCTCCTCGTCCATCTTCCTCCACCAGACTATGGAAAGACATAATAGCCAATTTCTACATAGTCATATTTCATTATCAGTGACGTTGACCATGGAAGCCATTTACAGTATCATTTTGATTTCAGTAACACTGACCACGATTTTGAAAAAAAAAAAATGATGATACTGCTCCAACTTATCAAGGCATAGCCATAGCAAACATATGATATGGAGAAAATCCCCATAAGACATAAATCTGCTTTTCACTGACAGAAATAAAACATTCAATTTTTTAAATTGTCATTTGTCAGTGACTTATTTGTGAGATAACACACTAAAGGTATAACTTACTGAGATAACACACTAAAGGTATGACTTACTGAGATAACACACTAAAGGTATGACTTACTTAGATAACACACTAAAGGTATGACTTACTGAGATAACACACTAAAGGTATGACTTACTGAGATAACACACTAAAGGTATGACTTACTGAGATAAAACACTAAATGTATGACTTACTGAGATAACACACTAAAGGTATGACTTACATCTTTATCTGTGATGTCTACATAGACATTGCTCCTGGAGGCTAGAGGGCACTGGGAACGTAAAGGTTTACCAAACATACTGCTAAAGCTCCACGCTGTAGATTATAAAACACATCATAAATTTTACTTGGAACATAAAGAGTGACCAAACATACTCACATTCTGTGCTGTAGATTATAAAAATATGTGAAATATTTCACTTTGAATTCAAGCCAACATAAATGATGTTAAGATACTTACTCTGTCGTCCAAATCTACTTGTAGTGGGATCGAACACCACTGTCAGTGTCTGCTTTAGCTCCACAGATGACTTGGTACACGCTGCATCCTGTTATGATTTAATGGACAACTTAGTATAACAAAACTCTTTATTTTGTGAGCACCACTAACACTTGTACAAAACAACTCAATAAGTTCTTTTACAAAGCAATCTCATCAACAAATGCACTAAGGAATCCTGTAAATGTGAAATTGTATAAAATAGCACTCTTAAAAACAGCACTGATCCAACTAAAGTGTCCTTAACTCCTTCATTCACTTACCCGACAGATAGGCCTCACCTGTAGCCCTATGGACTGGTAGAATGATTGACTTACCTGACAGATAGGCTTCACATGTAGCCCTATGGACTGGTAGAATGATTTACTTACCTGACAGATAAGCCTCACATGTAGCTCTATGGACTGGAAGAATGATTCACTTACCCGACAGATAGGCCTCACCTGTAGCCCTATGGACTGGTAGAATGATTTACTTACCTGACAGATAGGCCTCACATGTAGCCCTATGGACTGGTAGAATGATTTACTTACCTGACAGATAGGCCTCACATATAGCCCTATGGACTGGTAGAATGATTCACTTACCCGACAGATAGGCCTCACATGTAGCCCTATGGACTGGTAGAAGGATTTACTTACCCGACAGATAGGCCTCACATGTAGCCCTATGGACTGGTAGAATGATTCACTTACCCGACAGATAGGCCTCACCTGTAGCCCTATGGACTGGTAGAATGATTTACTTACCTGACAGATAGGCCTCACATGTAGCCCTATGGACTGGTAGAATGATTTACTTACCTGACAGATAGGCCTCACATGTAGCCCTATGGACTGGTAGAATGATTTACTTACCTGAAAGATATTCCTCACATGTAGCCCTATGGACTGGTAGAAGGATTTACTTACCCGACAGATAGGCCTCACATGTAGCTCTATGGACTGGAAGAATGATTCACTTACCCGACAGATAGGCCTCACCTGTAGCCCTATGGACTGTTAGAATGATTTACTTACCTGACAGATAGGCCTCACATGTAGCCCTATGGACTGGTAGAATGATTTACTTACCTGACAGATAGGCCTCACATGTAGCCCTATGGACTGGTAGAATGATTTACTTACCTGACAGATAGGCCTCACATGTAGCCCTATGGACTGGTAGAAGGATTTACTTACCCGACAGATAGGCCTCACATGTAGCCCTATGGACTGGTATGATGAGTCATGTAACTTGATGGCATTGAACAATGTAGATAATCCCACCTACAAACAAAATAAACAAAGTGAATTACCAGCATTACAAAATGCCTTACAATTCCGAGTCAAATATCTCATCTACAATGACGAGTAGGAAATCCTGAAGCCAGGTTACCAAGCAGTCCCTGTAGTTGCTTATTAGGTACTTTTGTTAGGCTTTTGTTACCAATAACGTATCCTTAATCCTGGTCCATGAACAACACATAATCTCCTCCAAACATTGACACACAAATGTACTAGTATTGGGTATTTGTTCCTTAAAATCATTCATTATAAATTTTTTGTAAAAAATTAAAATATAATTTTTGATACAGTAAGCCATCTTTTCATGATCTCTGCACCAGTAAAAATTTGCTGTGATTAACTTTCACACATAAGACTTTTACTGTGTTTTATCTGTACTCCCTCTCTTTATAAATAGTAATAATTCATATCAATATTGATAAATTTTTGCTTATAGTTCCCATGGTGTAAACAAATTGTACTCAAACAGAAGTGGTTTGCAATATTTCCTTTGTTATTTGAAGATTTTTGACATTAATGAATCAAGATGTCATTCTCAATTTCTCAACACCAATCTAGTCATTTTTGATACACAGTGGTGTTTCATGAGGTGTAGTTTTTCATGCAGAGAAGTTTCACATATCTATGGATTTATTATCGTGTCACAGGTTCCTGAAGCACATGCTGGATGGCTACTAATTGTAAGGTAATACAAAATACCATAAAAACTGTCAATGCAAGTGAAAAATTCCTGGCACTAGACTATGGAATTGCAATATAATTCACAACATCAACAGGTAGTTACTAATAAGACATTGTTACCTTTGAATCACATGGCAGAAGTTTCTTCCATGGTGTAAGGTTCTCGGTACAAACGACCTCTCTAGGCAGAGCCGAGTACTTCAGGTTTCGCCAGTCCATGGAATAATATTCTGATGCTAATCCCTGTGGCCGAAATGTCCACCGTGGACTGACTGTAGCTTTGCTGTCCATGAAGTTGAGGGAAGAACAAAAGAGTCCTGACAAAGCATTTACGTAATTTGACCACAACTTATCTCGGACAGCTTGATCTGACCTGTTAAATAAAAGAATATCAGAGAAACTGATGAATGCTCCCCAAAAACGACTACATTGGTTATAAAATTTTAACAAAGGGCCATAATTCTGTAATCAAGGGGTTGCAGGCCCTGATTTTGATATACTGCACATTCTCTTAATATGACCAATTAATGTATACACCAAATTTCATTATCTTCGTTTTAATGCAAGCAAAGTTATGCTCAGGACAAAAATTTTAACAAAGGGTAATAACTCTAAAATTAAGGCGTTGCAGGTTCTAACACTGGTATACTGCACATTGTCTTTATATGATCACTGTATACACAAAGTTTCATAATTTTACCTTAAATACAAGCAAAGTTATGCTCTGAACATGACAATTTTAACAAAGGGCAGTAATTTTGTAACTGAGGGGTTGAGGGCCCTGAATTTGGCACACAGCACATTGTCAAAGTATGATCAAAGTATACTCTAAGTTTCATTATCCTTGCTAAGCTATGGGCAAAGTTATACTCTAGACAAGAAATTTTTAACAAAGGGCTACACTTGTAATTAAGGGTTGCGAGTTCTGGATTTTGTACACTGCACATCGTCTTGGTATGATCAACATATACATCAAGTTTCATGATCCTTGGTTAAGTATGGCAAAGTTATGCTTCAGACACAAAAGAACGCATGGATGGATGGACAAGGTGGCAACTATATGCCCCCTGGAAATTTTTCAGGAGCATAAAAAAGTGATGAAAAAGTAATTTACTGCAATACTATTTAGGATAGTCCTGATGAAACAACAATGAAAAAAGTTATCTGACTTGTCTGATGGGTGGACAGATTATAGAAAAAGCAGTTCACAACGCTCACAGTTGATACTAGTGATGTAAGAAAAGCAGCAGGAAACACTGTAGACTGTGATCAGATGACAAGACATTAGAGTGGGTGGCTTGTTTCAGGAGCCCTTTCAGAGTAAGGCAATAGTTTGCCCATACATCATAGCCTTAACACCAACACTGAACTGTCTACCTCTTACAACCATTACAACTGTTAAAGATTTCTTCTGCCAAGTTGTTTAAGTAGGAATTTCTATTCGTTATACCAGACAATTAAGAAGCGACTTTGAAATCATTGTATCTGAGTCAACAATATGACTTCAAGGCTCTGGAAATGAAAAATAATGAATTCAAAGGCTGAATTAAACATTGTGAACAGATTACCTGATATACAATACTAAATTATAGCTCACTTGTTTCTGTTAGACTGGAACCAGGTCCAAAGTTCAGCTCCTGGTGGTGCATCCTCTGGAGGGTAACCCCATTGTCTGTACCTCCACAGACCCTGTGTCTGACTAAGGTGCAGTTCCTGAACCCCATATGTGGACATCACCTCTCCCAGAGACTTAGGGAATAGACGGTAGTGGGAGTCTGTTGAATGTAAATGGGCTGTATTAACTCATATGATGTATACATGATGAATTCACTCATATGATAGTGGGTAATAACTCACATAATACATACAGGACTTATTAACTCATAAAACACAAACAGGGTGTATTATATCATACAATACCTACAGGGTGTTTTAATACACACCATATACATTGTAGAATGTGCATAAGATTAAAGAAACATCCCATGTTAATCTAATTAATTTAAAATCATCTCCAAAGTAAATTACACAAACTATGCTTGAAGAAGTCATTTTCTTATATATGAACAATTATAATCAACTCATGAAATTCACAAAATTAATTATGCATCTTAAGACCTTCCCACTCCAGGAGAGTATTGGATTCTACCATACCAGAGATGTAAGAAGAAACATTTTGAAGTGTTAATCAATGTAATGATAATAGTCAACAGAATGATTTTCAATAACGCTGAACCATACATCACAAATAGGAAATCATTCTTTGTGAAAACTGCATTAGAAATGGAATAAACTGGATGATGTGTAGTCTGTACAGAGTGTATAGAGATAAGTATCTCTCTCTCCTGTCATTTCATGCATTTTTTTTTTATTATTACAACATATCCAATATAAATGCTTGAAGGGTTAAACAAACAAAAATTTTTCGGATGTGACTCTCATGTGGCAAATAAATTTGTTTGCTTTCATAGATTTGTGCCAATTGTAAACTTTTTGTTATCTCATTGCATAACAAAAATAAGCTGCCATTCATTCATTCATTCATTCATTCATTCATGATGTAAATTCTCAGGGAAATCTAACATTGTATTTCTGTCATCATTGCAAAATTAAAACAATCTGAAGTATAGCAGATCAGTAACAGGTTTAAATATGCAAATGTGTACCCAAAAAATACAAAACATTCAACATTAAGATCTATTTCTACCCCCTGACATACTTCTTAATACTAAGCTCTTCCTTTTCAATTTTTGTTTTTGCCTTTATCAGAGATAATCAACTTGTTAATCCTTCATCTTTGTTTCTTTCTTAAGGACATGCTGGAGAATTGGGGCAAACCATTGGATATGGATCAGAAAAGTACTGGTGTGAAATGTGCTAAGGGTGACAACTCTCATAGAATGCCTTTGTGTGTAAGAGGTTGAAACGGTTGGATTGACTGAATCTGTAAAATAGAATGCAATGCAAGGATTGATCTCAGCATATGCAATTTGAGTAATCAAGCTGTACCTGTCCAAAACTATCTGGGAGAGAGTCACTAGTTTTCGGACTTTATACATAAAACATGACCGTTCCAAGTACATATTTTCGGAAATGCTGTGTTATTCGGCAAAGGGTAAAAAAATAACTATTTCATTACTAGTTCCTGTTTAATTAAATTATGAAACAATATAATTGTCATCATCCAGTGCATGTCTGGTGCACCAGTTTATTGGCAATATCGCGAAATAATGATATGTTCAGTGGACGTTTCAACCTAGTTACGCGAAAGCGGTCTTACATTCCCCGCTCCCCACGTCATAACAGTAAGACAGTTACATACACGCTGTTTCATCTGCGATGCTGACGTTCCATTTAGTTGTAAATTGGAAATGAAACATGACATGTCCACTACCAAAAGGTTTAATGAACAATTCCTCGTTAAATTCGTCATTAAGTTTAGCGTGTACGATGTATCCGAGCAATGGTAACCAAAATATCCACATCATCTTCCGCGATACCGGCATCGATCGACTGCTTTCCACCATCTTGGATAGTGCAGCAGATGAGACGCTGTTAACCAAACGAAAATATGATTTACCTTTAAATGGAGATATTTTTGTGAATACAGGACACTAAAATATTTTTTAAGAAAGAATCAATACACAAAAAATATTCTAAGACTCAGATTTTTTTATTTGTTTGCTTTATTATTCGCTTCTTAAAACCGGAAACACATGCAAATTGTAAACACTGGAACAAAGGGTGTCGATGGTAAGTTTTACATTTCACTGCTCTTGTATTCTCTAATGCACGAACTTGTAAAATCGCCATATAGACATTTATTTACTTATGTAGATACAATGTTATACGGTTGTTTCGAAGGTGCGTCCGTTTTCGCAATTTTCATTAGAGTTTTGAGAACGTGAACACCGGTAGGGGGTGTTGTGACGTTTAGCGTGATAAGCGTGATTGACTTCCCAATTATCTTCCTGCGTACCTGGTATTTTGGGCCGTACATTTTACTTACTTCTGTGAAAACATTAACACATATTTTTGTAATTGTTTAACTCAAACATACGGGGGCTGTTAAAACTCGGATAATATGCAGCTGGTATGTCGGGGAACATGCTAGACACCCGTCTACGTTCACCCGCAGACATACAGTATGTTTGCATATAGTCCTGCATTTGAGTGACAGTTGCTGTTTTGAGTGAATTATATATATTTTTATTCGAATACAGGATATTTGTAAGAGAAACACGTGAAATTCTTTTAAAGATTTGCAACATTTTTTGTTTATTTTTCTTTGAAAGTAAAACGGTCAAATGCAGATTGGGCACAACCATGCATATGGGTAATAATCATGCATTTGAGGGTTTTAGTTACTACTTTGAATAAGTAGTTACTTACATGCATGGTCATTCTCAAATAGAAGCACTCAAAGTTTTTGTTTGCAACAAAAAATAGTGTTATCTTGTCACACACAACCCAATAGCAAATATGACAATGTATATAACTGCATAGGAAACATTCATTTCTATTATATAACTTTGTGTTGAAATGGCAATATATCACTGCCTTTGTTCTCCATTGACTACAGTCTATAGCCAGTGGCAGTATTTAGAGCAAATGTTATATATAGTTGAGAATGAATTTACCTGTGTTTTGCACAAGTTGCCATAACACTGACAAGAAGGAATCACGGAGACAGAAAACTTGTCAACCAACCTACCTGTGTTTTTAGCCACACTAAAAGCAGTTGATAAACAATGTATGTGATCAAGTTTTTTTTTCTTTTCAAAAAGTGAGACAATTTATTTCACAACTGTTTGTACAAAAAATGTACAAGTTTGCATTTGTTATTATGCCATGTAAAAATATCACCCACTTTTTTGTTGCAAATGTTTCAAAAAAGACTTTTATGTGTTTCTATTTCAAATGACATTACATTTCAGTAAGTAACTGGGTACTCAAAATGGTAATTAATAACTATCCCGCAAATTCAGGAATATTGTCCATTTTGAGGGGTTGTGCTCAACTTGAAATATAGATTTATGGATATATCTCCAATCAATGAAATAAAATAAATCACACTGTTGCAGTGAGACAGTTATAAACAGAACAGTAGAGGATATCCAAAGTGTGAATGTTTATGTTGCAGAATCACACATCCTAGGCTTTGGCTAACCCTGACACCAGTGTGACTTGGTGTGTACACTGAAATCCATCATGGTTGGGAAGAAGCCATCCACACCTGCTTATTCCTCAAGGAAATCTCCTGGAGAACCTGCCTTGGCTCAGAGACTGCGAAGGAACATATCACCCAAAAATTTGGTATGGGCAGTATATTTTTAAATGTGAGAGTAGTTTCTGGTAAGAACTCTCATAGTAAATCGCTTCATTGTACCAGTATCTTATTATTGGGATAAAAGATTTCCTACAAATGTTTCTCGTAAAGAATTGTTGGTGTAGTAATAGTAAATCACTTCATTGTGTTATTAAGGATATCAGTATCTTATTATTGGGATAAAAGACTTCCTACAAATGTTTCTCATATAGAATTGTTGGTGTTGATTTTCCTCTGAAATTTTATGTCTGTTTTACTTTGTCGTATTGAAGTAAAATTTAGACTTCTTTTCACATGGTAAAACTTGATGGAAATGTCAATGTTCTCTGATTTCAAGATAGGCGATTTCTTGTAAAAAATTGTATATTTGTATTCATGTTGTAGCACTGTAGAATGAAAATGATCATGCATTGTAAAACACAAGAACAATAATTCTTTTTATTATCTGTTCTGTATTTATTGATATTGTCATCATTTGAGTTTTACATTTATTCCACTGGGGTTGCAATTCTGAAAACTTTATTTTTGATTTTTAAAGAATACAGTTTTAATCTGATTCTGAAGAATATGTTCAGTATGTACCTGGTTGTGAATGTCATATGTTGAGCTTCATTGAAAATTCAAGATTGCCACAAGTAGTCATATTTATATCAAAAGTTTTTTTACTGCTTTTTTGGAAAATGTAATGAAGCATTATCTTGATCTTAAAACCTTGGATATCATCTCAGTATAGGTAATTGGTTACATTTTGAGATTCATTAAAGATTCCAGATGGCTGTGAGTGGCCATTTTGTAACAGCAACATTTCATACCAAACTTTCTGTTGTAAGCTTTCTTGACAGAAATGCCTTTGTCTTTATACAATACAAAATGTTTCTTCTTAAACATTTGCAAGTACATCAGTTAAAAATTGCTTATTTTTTCTTTAGGATTTAACTGCAGGCCTATCATGGCGTGAGGAGAGGGAGTTGAATAAAGCATTATATGCCTCCTTACAAGAGACTAAAAAACTTGCCATCAAATCTGAGCTAGAGTCAGATCCCCCATTGGTACCTGCAAACAGTATCCCAAGACGAAACCTCTTGAACAGAGTGTTGCCAAGACGTCAGTCTCCCAGAGCCAGTAAACCTGCTGCACCTTCAAAGTCAAGTGCAGCAACAATGCAGAGTCCATCTCTTCCTCCTCCAGCGGACAAAAAGCTCAAGTCTCACCACAGCATTGCAGGAGATGAGAGTAGTCAGGACTCCATGCGATCATCAACCACCAGTTGTTCTAACGATGATTCCAAAGGGTAGGACTGACACAAGCAGCCAATACACATACAATAAATTCTTGTATTTCCCTGGAAGTCACATTATAAGGTTTTCCAAAAACTTTCTATAACATTTCAGAAACAAATTCTATAGTATGATCTTTGATTTTTTTTAATTTTTGAGAATACATGTGCATTCAAATTAAAAGTTGATATATCTTCAGTACATTATGCTTTTGAACAATATGATGAGAATGAGACAATAGAAACCATACAAGCTTTCAAAAGCATCTTGAGAAGGTGTACTTGTATAAATTATGGAGCATTCAAGTGCAGGAAGAACTGTTATAAGTTCTGAATAATAGACATGATAAACACTTCATGTGTAAGTAAGCTATTATTTATTTTGATGGGATGAGATGTTAGGACCCAGATTTGGGTATTTATAATGGAAATGGAGGTTTTTAAGTGGGATAAATTAGATCATAGTCAGCTGTTCCAAACTAAAACAGTTTTGATAATTTTACAATAATAGTTTTATCCAGTTTGGTACTGTCATTAATTACACCTAATTAACATATTGTTAATTACACCTGTGAACCCATGAATTAATACCAGGTTAAATTTTGTTGGTTTCACCCTGCTGGAAATAAGATGAAAATAAAAAATAGGATGATGTTTGATGTTATAGATAAGATACAAAAATGTATATATTTTTTGTATTTTAGACAAATTTAACATTATGTGAAAGTGAAAGCGGCGATGAAAAAAGAATATGAAAAAAATATTAATTTGTATACATACACTTTAACCTTACTAGTTTTTCTATGAGATGACTTTGTTCCTTGCAGCAGGACAAAAGTGAGAGCTCAAAGAAAATTTGCCCAGATGCATGCCTATGGTAACACTATGGTCCCATCACAGCACACACCTGTTAAACACACCAGCAAGACCTCCTCACCCATCAAAGTCTTCCCGAAGCGAGCCAAGACTGAAGATTTCCTCACTTTCCTCTGTCTGAGAGGTAGTTATTGTACACCTCTATTTCCATATTCAAACTATTCATAGATGCATATGTACCTGTATTACATTGATGAGTGTAAAAGCCCAACATTTAGCCAATACTGTTTACTGTACACAGCATAATGTTTTTATGTTTTCTCCCCAAATTCCTCCTATACAATTGAATGATGTTTGTTGTTTGTCTCATTCTTCTGTTACCAATTACATTGTGGCAAAACATTTTGGTTATATGGCAATATTGTCTAATTTTCAGAAATAATTTATGTACTTTTCATAGTTTTATTAAGTTGTAGTTGTATAGAGCATTTACCATGATGCTGATTCTGGTACAATTTTGGAAAGAGTATTTTTGCTTTGATAAATGAATATTTTATCATTCAGTTTCAAATAATTGATACCTTATTGATTGTTATTGTTGATAGGAACACAGGCCCTTCCTCCGCACCTGGACTTTTTCAATTTCTCCCGAGACGAGGGTGACACTAGCCTGCCACCAACACCACCTAATCGAGGTCGAGCTTTTGTGCGTGAGAGTTCTCCTTCTTCCAGCAGTACTAGTTGTAGTAATGTACCCGATGATGTGGCAGACTCTCCAGCACCACTGGTACATACTGGCTTTCATTCTGTGTATAATACTGAAATCTCATTGCATTTGTCATGTTATGTTGGCATTTTGCCTAACATGTCCAGGTTTTTAATGACATTTACAGGCTGTTCTTAATTTCCCTTAACTTGTCAAGTTGTTTCTTGTAATTCTAGTTAGTTTAGAAATGTCCATCAAACCTTATACATTCTTGTCTTAAAAGCTTTGAAACTTTTAGATTTTGTCTGTCAGATAATCTTTTGACAAATAGTTTGCCTAAATATTTTAGAAGCTGGGAGAGAAATTAATTGTTTGTTCCTCAAACTGTATACCACCTTGAGAACTTCACAATTTATCATTTAAAATGAACTTGTACTGTGGTTTTCACAAGGAGAGTGGAATTACTGTAGTTATTGTGCTTGCAATGTGACTTTTTCATGCAAGATATTTTAGGACATGAAAGATGTTCTTTACTTTCAGCAAAGTTTGGATAGAGTACTGCTTGATATTTCATGGATTCTGTGATATGCTGTATGGAGATTTGAATTTGATAATTTCTCCTTGACAGGTTATGCCACCAAGTGGTCGTGTCACCCCAAGCAGGAAAGCTGCACGTGCATGTGCAGGCACTCCAGAGACTGCCAGGGGATTGGCAAGTTTTCCAACCCGACAAGGTCAAAGGTCACGGGCAACTTCGAAGAGAAGAAATGCATCACCTGCAGTCACCCCTGCAAAGTGTACTCGATCCTATAGAAATGGAACACCTTCCCCTGTGAAGGGGACACGAGGTAAAGCAAGTCCTGGCAAGATGACTGATGCAGAGCGTCTGTGTATCAAGAGAAAGGCCATTGCAACTTTGACCTCTTCAAAACTTTCACCAAACCAAAAAAACAGGCGTAAGTCACTGTTTATAGATCAGTCAGGAGTGGACGACAAACCAGGAAATCAACGACAGACCAAGGTAACTGATGTTTGGGACTCGAGTAGTGTAGTGACTGGTACTAACAGCTGTGGTGAAGAATCGAGAGATGGTGAAGGGGTTAGTAGATCTAGTAGTGTAGGAGATCTACCCTATATAGCCAATGCAATGCCTATATGTACTGCTGATATCACTGTTAACTCTACTCCTGTGTGTAGCACTTCTAACCCTAGTACTGCCTGTTCAGATAATAATGATATGTCACCAAAGCAGGGTTTCTCTGGTGTAGTGCTACCTGCATGCCTGAAGTGTGATCTTATAGATCAATCTTGTTCCAGTATAACCCAAACCCCTTCATCTTATACCTTGGATGATATTTCCTTCCCTATCAAAACCTCTACTGTATCCACCCCTCATGATGTTTCTTTCTCATTACAAACATCATCTAAATCTACTGAGACTAGGTCTACTCAAACCCATACATCCAGTGAGGGCCCCATCCACTCCCCTACTCAAACCACGTCTAGATCTACAGAGAATGATGTTCCCTGCTCTACCCAAACCCTTACATCCAGTGAGGGCCCCATCCACTCCCCTACTCAGGCCACTTCTGTATCTACAAAGAATGATATTCCCTGCTCTACCCAAACCCTTACATCCAGTGAGGGCCCCATCCACTCTCCTACTCAGGCCACTTCTGTATCTACAAAGAATGATATTCCCTGCTCTACCCAAACCCTTACATCCAGCGAGGGCCCCATCAACTCCCCTTTTCAAGCCACTTCTGGATCTACAGAGAATGATATTCCCTGCTCTACCCAAACCCTTACATCCAGTGAGGGCCCCATCCACTCCCCTACTCAAACCACTTCTGTATCTACAGAGAATGATGTTCCCTGCTCTACCAAAACCCTTACATCCAGTGAGGGCCCCATCAACTCCCCTACTCAGGCCACTTCTGTATCTACAAAGAATGATGTTCCCTGGTCTACCAAAACCCTTACATCCAGTGAGGGCCCCATCCACTCTCCTACTCAGGCCACTTCTGTATCTACAAAGAATGATGTTCCCTGCTTTACCCAAACCCTTACATCCAGTGAGGGCCCCATCCACTCTCCTACTAAGGCCACTTCTGTATCTACAAAGAATGATGTTCCCTGGTCTACCCAAACCCTTACATCCAGTGAGGAACCCATCCACTCTCCTACTCAAACCATTTCTGGATCTACAGAGAATGATGTTCCCTGCTCTACCCAAACCCTTTCATCCAGTGAGGGCCCCACCCACTCTCCTACTCAAACCACTTCTAGATCTACTGAGGATGCCATCTCCTATGATGTCATATCCTGTCCTTCTGAAATCCCTTCCGTTTCCACTGAGGATACCATTTCCAGTGACATCATTTCCTGTCCAACACAAATGCCTTCTCTTTCTACTGAGAATGTCATTTCCTGTCCAACACAAATGCCTTCTCTTTCTACTGAGAATGTCATTTCCTGTCCAACACAAATGCCTTCTCTTTCTACTGAGAATGTCATTTCCTGTCCAACACAAATGCCTTCTCTTTCTACTGAGAATGTCATTTCCTGTCCAACACAAATGCCTTCTCTTTCTAGTGAGAATGTCATTTCCTGTCCAACACAAATGCCTTCTCTTTCTACTGAGAATGTCATTTCCTGTCCAACACAAATGCCTTCTCTTTCTACTGAGAATGTCATTTCCTGTCCAACACAAATGCCTTCTCTTTCTACTGAGAATGTCATTTCCTGTCCAACACAAATGCCTTCTCTTTCTACTGAGAATGTCATTTCCTGTCCAACACAAATGCATTCTCTTTCCACTGAAAATGTCATTTCCAGTGATGTCTTTTCCTGTCAAACACAAATCCCTTTGGTTTCTACTGAGGGTGATGTTATAGCCTGCCCTACACAAACTTTGTCTTTTCAAGATTCTGTTTCCTGTGATTTCATATCCAATGAGGAAGAAATTTCCTGTCCTATCCAAACAGTGTCCCTGCAAGATGTTGTTTGCTGTGATGTCATATCCTGCTGTACACAATCCCTTTCTTTGTCTGGGAATGATACTTTAAGATCTTCCCAGTTACCAGATACAAGTGTTGCCGTTGCCTTTGAGAAACCTCCAGAAGTATTTGTCCCCCTTTTCTCACAATTCAATTCTTTGAATAAAGATAGATTCAGTATGGAACATGAGTCTATGATGAAAATGTGCCAATCTCGTTACTTAGATATTGAGGTTACAAACAATGCCCCACCTCCTGTTATTTCCTGCCATCCAGACACTGCACCTGCTAATTCCCCTAATGTTGATGTTGGAGAAATATTAACCAATGAGTCAGAAGACCCAATATTTTCCAGCCCTTCTCAATGGACATTTCCCCTAGAGTCTGTTTTATCTGATACAAGCACATCTTATTCAGAACTCACTGTTGGAAAGAGATACAAAACAACACCACCAAAAATTACCAGTCAACAAATTGAGTCTGACAAAGTCTCAAGATGTGTTGAAGACACGGTCTCAAGATGTGTTGAAGACACGGTCTCAAGATGTGTTGAAGACACAGCTTTAAAATGTGTTGAAGACACGGTCTCAAGATGTGTTGAAGACAAAGTCTCAAGATGTGTTGAAGACACAGTCTTAAAATGTGTTGAAGAAGACCATCACCCTGTAGATAAGATTACAAAAACTTTGCCTCAGCAAACTGTAAAATCGACCACACCCTTATCTGTAGGTTGTGCTGTCAATATTGACGACAGTGGATTCATAGATAGTTTAGAATCCCCAACATTGACGTCACCCTCCCCTAAAACCCTGTCAAAACACAAGGGAATTCTTGCAAGGTATAAGTGTAAAACTTCAACACCTTCTTCAAAGCCAAGAGCTAGAAAAAAAGCTTTTGTTTCATTTCTCCTACCTCCTGTGTCAGCACTTAATCCTCGATCTCAAATATCTCCACCAATACCTCACACGGAAGCTTCTTCCTCATCCAAAATTGTTCGTATAGATCCACCCATGTCACATGTCATAGATCCACCTGCATGTCACCTTATAGCTTCACCCACATCTTCACTAGACCATGAATATCCACCTCTTGCCAAGTCTGTTGTTCATGCAAAGGTGGCTAATTGTCCAATCAGGGCAAGTGCCTCCATTTTGCCTCATCCTGCTCCACCTTACTCTGTTCTGACGTCCATTCGAGAACGCAAACTGGAGATGAAGTCTCTTGATGCTACCTCTGTTAAAGCAAGTGATAGTGAAATACAGCAGGATAACAGGTCACCTCCTGGTAAAACACTCTACCCTGCCCCTCCCACCCTCTGTTATAGAGAGATACCTCACTAAACAGACTAACTTTGTGTATACAGGGTAACACTCTACCCTCCCACCTTCTGTTTTAGAGAGATACCTCACTAAACAAACTTACTTTGTGTATACAGTGTAACACTCTACCCTCCCACCCTCTGTTTTAGAGAGATACCTCACTAAACAGACTTACTTTGTGTATACAGGGTAACACTCTACCCTCCCACCCTCTGTTTTAGAGAGATACCTCACTAAACAAACTTACTTTGTGTATACAGTGTAACACTCTACCCTGCCCCTCCCACCCTCTGTTTTAGAGAGATACCTCACTAAACAGATTTACTTTGTGTATACTGTGTAACACTCTACCCTGCCCCTCCCACCCTCTGTTTTAGAGTTACCTCACTAAACAGACTTACTTTGTGTATACAGTGTAACACTCTACCCTGCCCCTCCCACCCTCTGATGGATTGGATTGAAACTTTGTGTTAAGTTATTTACAAGGTACCCGACTGCAATGCATATTTTGTTTTGATTCTAACTTTGAATTTTCTTGTGCTATAGTTGAAAGTGCTTTTCATTTTGTATGCTTATGTACTTTTACGTAATGTTTGGTTATATGGTTGTTTTGCTTTTGCTCCATATAGTGTTTATCTGTGTTATGTTTACAGTATTTGAGGATCACCTGAGACGTACTGTAAAGACATAAAAACATCTTTACAGTGTCAGATCCCATTTGTCTGTTACTATTTTTTGCACATGATGTGCTATGTAACTGTGACTGTGTCTAACACACCATAACTGATTTCACTGGTATGTGCAGGACCTTTTAAAGGTTGAGCTATATTGTCCCTATTCCAAGGCGCTGAAGGGATGAACAAAAACAAGTCTAATTTGAATTTGTTACAAATATTTTTTGTGGATAGAAAGGGTCTGAGGTATTGTATGAACCCTTGCTTAAAGATAGAGTTACAATTTGGATTGTTTCCAGGATTAAAATAAGGGACAGGTAGCTGTTAGTCATGCTTTATCAAAATCAAACTGATACCATATTAGTATTTGAACCCTTAACAATACTATTAGAGTTATTCCCCCTAACTGTGCTTTATTTACATTATCACCAATCAATTGCATGCGGAAATGAAAATCCTAAACATTAGAACTACAGTGGTGGTTTAGGTCCATTGGACTGGTTTCAGTCTTGTAACTTACTTGTACTGCATCATGTGACCTTTATATTCTCTTGTCATTATTGTTGTGATGTCCACTATGTTGCACTATTTGGAAAGGATTAAGAATAAGGTTATTGCTAATTTGCATGGTTGTATTTGACTTATAGCTGTTTTGTACCTTTTTCTATTTGCTGATAGCTGATTTTTTGGCATGGTTTGTAGGATTATAACTATTCTGTAGTACTTTTGATACACTCTCAACTGTTTTAAGACATACCAGTTGATTTGATGACCCCAAAGTAATTTAAGTTTACTTAGAATCCTAAACAGGGGATGGCAGTTAATTTTGTACAGTTTACACTTGCATTATATGCAACATGTAGTAAAAGTTATCTTACTTTGTTTACAAGATTTTCATATGACATATGACACAAGAACAAGTTATTGAACTCAGGTGACATGTTAGGGTCTTTGGGTCTCTTGTTGATGCTATACAGTCAGTTGAAGAAAGTTATTTTTCTTTGTTGATTTCTCATTTTCTTGTCATAAAGCTTGTAACCATTTTAGATACATCAATGAAACTTTGTTATCAAGATTAAATATAGCAGCTTACATAGGATATATATT